GTGACGGAGATGAGTGCATGGGATAGACCACGCCTGTCACATGGCAAAAAGGCTTGGTTTGCCAGCAAACCAACCAACTCGTGCGCCGCACGGTTGGCTTTGCTTGATGACGTGACGGCGAAGTGAGTGAGTGCTCAGTAGCAAGGCAGGTCCCAAGGCTGGTTTTTGGCATACTTACCTCAGATGGTCTTCGTGATGCTTACCTGAGCACACCTTTTGGACCCTTTTGGGCCCTCAGCACACTAAGCTTTAGGGTTTTTAGCTTTAGGGTCTTTTGTGATCCCTTTGGTTCAGAGTTTTGTAGTGATTTCTTTTGCCACAGAGGAAGCTAACAGTTGCACGTCTTGCAGAGTCTATGTATGTTCCCCTTTCCTTTGGCTTTGGTGGCTATCCAACTGGGCCTTTGATGAGCGATTAGCAACCTTGCAATGTTTGGCACAATGTCTAAAAGCAAGGACATGTTCAAGCAGTTGAATCCAATAAATCGTGGCAATTTTGACCAGTGCTTCTTAATGGAAGTGCTGCAGTGCTTCTTAATGGACGATTATGAAGCAGTTCTGTGTCTCCAAGCCCCTGCACTCGGCCAAACGAAGCGAACTTGCTGAGAGGTCTTTGCCGCACTTCATACCAGCCTGGGCCATGGGATGGAGCGGTCAGACACGGTCAGAATGGGTTTGTAGGGGCGGGACAGGCGGGCCTGACTCTGACTGGGTTTAGTTGCTTTGGCTTTGTGCTTGGGCGGCTGGAATTCGGCACGTGAAGACATGTTTTTGTAGTGCACATTTACGCAAGATGAGGAAGTGCACATACCCATCCTGCAGATTGGACAGGGATTGTTGTTGTTGTTGTTGCTGTTGGCTGCTGGCTGCTGTTTGCTGTTTGTTGGTGTGTTGGTTAGCCAGTTAGTTAATTGGTTCAGTTAGAAGTCGTTACTGTAGTTAATTAGCTAGTTAGCTATAGTTATCTAAGTTAGCTAGTTAGTTGGTTAGTCAAGTTTAGACGATAGTGTTATTTTTTAAATGTTTGTAATTGTTTGTCAGTTGTTGTATGTTGTATGTTGTGGTGGTAACCTGTCCTAGTGGTAGTAGTAGTTATTGTCGTTCGTTGCTGCTGTTGTTGGATTCTTTTGTGGTGTCAGGATTGATTGATACCATTGAGCAGAGTCTGTCATCCTTTCCGCAAGCCAAATAACTTATCAAGTGATGACTGGATGTATGGTTTTACGCCCAGGTGAGTTTAATGAGATGAAGAAGAACCAGAACCTCGGCACTTGATGTTCTCCCATGTTTGGCGTCGTTTGCGTCGGACATCAATGCTAGGTCCGTGGTTTTTGTCGCGTCGGGGGTTTATGAAGATAGCACACTGAGTTTGCAGGCTGATTTCAGCCACCCAGTGGCCTGCTGAGTTCGAGCTGAGGATCGCGAGCCACTACTTCACCGAGTACGACAAATGGCACAGCTACACCATCGCTGCTTGACTTGTGTGGACTGGCAAACTTGTGTGATGTCGAGTGTTACCAAGCTGCACGACCTCAAGATACTTTCAGCAGTTCCCTAGTGAGTTTCGTAGGGTTCAAAATCTTTGGTGCCCCAAGGGTTAAATTCCTGATCCTGTATATAAAAGGACTGGACCATGAACCACAGAACAAAATGAACAGCAAATGAAACACATTGAAACACCATCTAAAGATTCTATGATTCTATGACGGCCTTAAGCCGAGAAAAATGAACTGTTTCCACTTCTAAGGGACCACTCTTGACAAACAGAGCTGCACAACACGAGCACTTAGGACTGGATGCCGGAGCAGATCAATTGGTATGTGGCCCATGGCCCAGGGGACAAAGACTTAAACAAGTAGAACGATCTGAGAAGCACTCGAAGCTGAGTCCATGGATGTGACACGTTGCCTCAAGAGATGACTACAGGTCCTGCAAGTCGTTTGTGTGGGTTGACCTTGCATCAGACCAGTCGGAATCACAGCTGGTGATTTGAGATGGGTTAGTATAAGCCAGTGTAGAAAAGAGCCTAGGCTAGACCAAGGCCCGTGAATCTTCCACCAAGTGCTTTTTTATCCACAGCCTTGGTGAATACAAAGATGCAAAGGCACTCCGTGACTCCGTGGTTCAAAAAGAAGGTCTTTAGCTGGCGGCCTTCATGGTCGACTGCAGGATGGTCAGCTTTTCCATCGAGTGTCCTCGAATGCAAAGAGATGGCCCTTTAACCAGAAGTTTTTCCTGAACATGAACATGGCGGCAGATGCCTCAGTTTCAGACAGTCAGAACCAGAGAGTCTCGTGTCTTTCCGGTCGCAACAGCTGCGACGATGTCGTACTCAGAGGGTTGCCGCTCTCTCCGTAAGCGTTTGAGGTCCCAGATGGAAGGCTCTTTTTTTTCTCCCTCTCAGGGTCCACTCTTGAGGACTTTAAAAGGACCACACTTCCCAGCGGATGGGACACAAGCAAATCAGGTGAACGCTCCCTGGGCCAGCCATTGTCTTCAAGATCCTTTGCCATGCGCAGAGCTCCAGGTGCCTTCGGCTGCCTTCAATGGTTTTTGCTTGGATCTTGTGATTCTTGTGCGACCTGAAGATTGGGTCATGGGAGTGGCGACGGGGGTTGTGTTGCACAACATGGGGTGAGCTTACCTTGTATGTGGAAATTGCGACCGTAAACGATATAACGGTATACCTGCAATTATTGAAAAAGAGTCAGCCAGTTTTGGCCGTTCAGGGGGCGATTGGTTCAGACTATCGCGCTTCGATGCGCCCTTCATAGGTGCCTAACAGATTGGATCATCAGTCTAAAGCCCTCAAAACAACAACGCGCAAGCAAAAGCCCGCGAGCGCACCCATGGCAACAGGGCGATACCCAAGCAACAATCCCTCACAGTAGTGGCTCACATAAAATAAGTAGATCATTCAGGCTAATCCATCATCGGGAATTTGCAATAGCGTGTGTTGCTATTCCACACCTGCATCAGCTTCAACAGTATCTAACAGATGGCGCGCCTTCGAGCGCGATGCCCCACTCGAAAGCCTGAGGCCATGGAAGTGGATTATGTGCGGGTCTACCAGCTGCGGGGCCAGGCGTCCGCAACCTGCGGGGCCGAGAGAGGACGACGGACTTATTTGTGGATGCTCAGGCGGGCTAGGATCTTCTTCCGGTCAGGCCAGAGACAAAGTGGGGCAAGGATCTGGAAGAGTTTACTGTAAAAGGATCGCAACTGCCTATTTGGAAATTTTAGACCATACACGGCAGGGCTTTCGAGAGAGTGCAAGTGCTTGGGCATGCTTTCGCTCAGGGCCTCCAAAAAGGCTTGGCAGCTTGACCTTCTCAGACGGGTGGAGGGTGGCTGACCTTCCTAGCTGTAGATACCGCACAGGATCCATTCCGGCCCATCCCCATCCCCTTATTGAAGCGCTCTCCTGCGCCAGGTGGCGTGAGCCCTGCTTCAGTGAGCCCGCTTCAGCGGGCTGTGAAGGTGGGAGTGGTGTGCATAAGTTTCAGCAGTGGGGCTGGAGCAGAAACCAGGAGATGCCAGCCTTGAAGCACAGGGTCTCACTGTTTTGCGACATGCTCAGCGGATGTGGAAAAACAATGAAAAACAGGCTAACCTGGCTAACCTTTATCTTCCAGAGGTCGCGCACGGCACGCAAATCTCTAAATTGCCTGGCAGCTCCAGCTCCTTACAGGCCCCCACCCAGCTTGGCAAGGACCAGCTAGGTGGGAGCAGATCCCGACAGCAGCCAATCCAGTTCTAACTCCTCATTTCATGAACAACATGGCCTGTAGGCGTGATGAAACACCGATGGCAGCTGCAAATTCAGGCAGATAGCGGCCTTCGATGGTCCAAATGGACCAGCGCCCAAACCAGATGAAAGGTTGCTGGATAAGGAAGGGAACAAGTTGACACTTGAACCTTAGCTTTCAAAAGAGAGAGAGAGAGAGAGCGAGCGAGGGAGGGAGGCCCTTGATCAGGTTCTTCGGATTTCTTCGGAATGTTTTCGATGGGTGTTTGTCGACAGTTGCGAAACGGTCAGGAGAAGTACAAAAAGGATTGCCCCACCAAATGCATTTGCCCAGATTGTCCATGCCGCTTTCTCAGACATGTTTTGTGCCGAGCAGCATGATCGAGAAAGCGCAACGGCGTAGCGGCGCTTCTCGCTTTGGGTGGTCATGCAGCGAAAATGGATGTAATTGACGAAGAGAGCCAAGCCATGTGGGAAGATATGAGTACCTGAGTACCATTAGGACTTAGGACACCAATCTTGATTGGCCAGAAGCTCCATAATAATTGGCAGACACGAGGTCAATTTCGCAACCCACGAAGCCATAAGCCTTGTGCCAAGGCAACAATGTGAAGCAGCGGACTTTGTTCGGCAGAAGCTACTGAGCGAATCGGTGGAGTCAAATATCTCTAACAGATTTAAGTGCTTAACATAAGGATGAACGCCACCTCCAAATGTACCAATTCTGGGAGACGATGATTCATGATAAAGATGCCGCAAATGCTGGTCAAGTCTGCAGTGTATCTCACATCATTTCACTACTTCATACGTTCAAGATATTGCAGGGGTTGCACAAGGGGATCTGATTCCTCTATCCTGTCTCACCATCCAGTGCTCGTCGGACATGGTCGGAGATAGTTTTTGTGTCCGGCCCATGGCAAGCCTTCGGGGAGAGCCATATGGTCCTCCAGGTTGTACAGGCTGTTGTTGTAGCTGGTGTGGGGCCAACATGTGCAAAAAAAAACAAACAGAAGTACACCGAAAGTTAAAAAGGAAAGCCAAAAAAGTAAGAAGGGACTATGGAAGGGCCCTGCTCTAGATGCAACAGAGCTGCTAGATTATTGAGAGACCCCCTCTGAGGCACACACTCTTTGACCTCAGAATGTGCAGCCTGTCTCCAAACAGTGCTCCATCACTCACAGCTGCACTGAACTCTGCGCATGTCGATTCCTAGCCGTTCCTATAGCTGCTCGGACCATCCGCTGATCGGACCCGCTCGAGCCTCCTGCTTCGGCCCAAGACGGACAAAGCGCCGTTCTTCCCAGCCCGGTCGCGTGCCCGGCCGTGTGGCGCGTCAGCGACCGGAGCTTGCGATCCCGGCCGAGCCTGAGCTTGAGCGACCGGGCGGCAGCTTCTTGGAGCAGGTCTTCAAGCCAGCCGTCAGGACAATGGAGATCCATTTGCTTATCACGTGCCAGGACCTTCCCAGTGACCGCTTCAGGATTGGTAAAGTGACCTTTTCAAGGTCTAGTCTAAGTCTAAGTGACCTCATTCTGGGATCTCAAAAGGTCACTGGGAAGGTCCTGGTAATATTTGTAGCCAGTGCCTTTGAAGGAGAGCGTACGTGAGTCTTGTGGGCATCGCTGGGCCCATCCCCAGCTCCCCCATTGAAAGCACTTCACTCGAAGAAGCCACCTGATCAACATGTCCAATGTCACAGAATATGGGATATCTTAAATTTTCTTATAGATTATCCACACACCCCTCTGAGTTAGCAGATATTGTTTGTTAAGTTTCAACGGTTAACGTTTTAGGCTGGGGGGGTCTGTATGTGAAAGCTTACTGCGGTTAAATTAAGAGATCAGCAGGTCGTTCTGATAGTTCTGAGGTTTTCGGATCTTCTGTTTGGACTGCAAACTTTCTTGAAACTAGCAACGGGCTTGGACTGGAGCCACGGAAATGGACATATTGTTCCACGGAGCAGGTGCAATCCCACACACGGTATGTGTGAGGTCAATCCCCCTGGGTAAATTTATACAGGCGTACAGGCTGGACAATTGTTTGCAGGTTGGTGGATGTGGGGGCACAGACAACAAGCCTAGTAGGATCTAGTAGCTTTCACACCTCTAGGTTAAGGTGCAAAGGCTAAGGTGCTTGGTTTCTTGGGCTTTAATGTTCCGGGAAAGGAACGCTATGAACATTTGCTGTCTATGACTGCTCTTGCATGCTTTTGTAGGGGGCCCCTGGACATTGATTGTTGAATAATTATCTAACAAATGGTGATATCCTGGATAACTTTTGAAATCTATGTCCCAGGGTCTCAGTTAGATAAATTAGTTATTCTGGGGGGGTTGAGTGGGGGTCCTTTTAAGATAACCCATATGTCACAGACATCATCCAACTATACTTGGTGATTTCATGCAGTATGTTACACAGCATGGTCCGAAAATCGGTATGTAGCAAGTTCCGATGCTCCACAGATGCATAGAGATGGACTAGTCGGGCCATGTTTCTCTCTGACAGAGGCTTCTAGGCTTCTTCGATTCGGCCCAACTGTGAAGCATGCCGGACCTATCCAATTCGAGCGGGGAGAGGACAATGGACTTGCTCGACGTGGATGGCGACCATATTCACTTCTTAATCGATCCTCAGGGCCGTTTGCGGGAGAGCCTTGGAAGCAGTGTAGCCGGGGGTCGATCGCAGGACAGCACATGTTGATGCTTGGGTGCATGGATTCTTCAGTTCAATGGCTGTCAAATGCCCCCAAAAGGCCTTTTCTTGCAATTGGCCCTTGAATCATCCATAAGTACTCTTTTTCAAAACAATCTCGCAACCCACAGGCAGATGTTTGGAGACTTCCCTTTTCACTAGATTCACTAGATGCTGGCTATGGCAATGTTCGGGGTTTAGTTGACTTGGTCAAAGAACATTCTCTAGATCCACTTGCGACTTGCACTTCACCACGTGCTTTACCTTTCTCCAGTCCGGCGCTTTCTCCTGAGCCGTTCCGAGGTATGTGAACGGGAAGCTGGAATTGGAGCACGTGCAGTGGCTGGCGCAATGCAGCAGCACTTGGAGAGACGGTCTGACAGTCTGGGTTTCAGTCGGTCCAGTTCCATCATCATTGCCATGATCATCCTCATCCTCATCCTCATCCTCATCCTCCATCCATCATCATGTTCATCAACATTTATATAATGTCCATAGGGTCCATATCCATATCCTCATCCTCATCCTGCGGTCATGCGCCCAGCAACGCCAATCAAACGTTTGCAAGTGGACAACCGGTCGCTTGTACAAAGACTGCTCGTCGACCGAGGTATGATGCTGAGACTGCCACGCTGGAAGATGAGAAGGGTCAGATTGTACTTCAGGAGAAGGATCGGGAGCCTTGGCTTTGGCTTTTGCTTGCGGGTTACCCCGAATTCTGCCAAGATGATGGCAATGCGCTGATAACTAACTCAAGTGGGAATGCGGTACGCTGATACTGCTTTGCATGGCATAGGCGCATTTAGGTTAATTGTACGTGAGGCTAATCCAAGCAAATGTTGTTTTCGCACTCACATGCGCACACGGTCGCAAACCGTGCGCAAACTTTCACCAAACATGCTCCACGCAGTGCCGTATTTTGGGGAGGTGTCTTCGAGATTGCTAGATTGGGTGGGTTGAGTTTCATGAGCCTAGGCTAATCTTTCATGATGTGTTGCTTTGACGATTTGAGGAGCTAAAAACAATTGTTTCTTAATAGCTGTGCCGTTATCAAGATCCTGTACTGTGTCTTTGTTTGCTGCATTGGGAAGACCAAAGGGCCTGGACTCTGAGTTCCCATGCTTGTTTGCACCATGCTGCCGTGGATGATGACCTGACTGCTGGTTGGCAGGAACTAATCGAACAATAGAGGTTTTTTCTTCATGGCTCGGGTGCCAGTCCTTCACGCGTTTATCTCCGTGGGCCTGGCTTCTCGACTCCCTGGCATCGTCGATTCGGCTGGCCTCGGTGAGGTGGAGAAAGCTCTTGGGGTTCACTGCTTGGCGATGCGCGCAGGAGTGCCCTGGCGAAAAGACCCACCAGTGCCTGCACAGCGCTTGGCCATTGTGGACACTGATGGGGACCAGCCACTTGGTGATCCAAGCACTCCATACTGTAGCCGTTGGGCCGTTGGGTGGTCATTCCATGGTCATCCATAGTTTCAACCCGTAATGATGACACCTGAGGAACTCTCAAAGGGCCTTCACATTCTGAAAAAGCAGTGTTAGGTGATCTGTTGGGGATCGCTTTCCTTTTCCCGATCTCTTCAATTCTTCTTCAAGATTGCTCCCATCATTCCATGAATGACAGGATCCATGCTAGAACATCGTGAACCCTAGCCCCACCAGCAAATTTGGTATACTGTATCCACCCTGGCTGAGGCTGGAGTTTATTGTCAATGAGGATCAGAAACTACAGGACTTGATCCATTAAAATGGTTTCGATGACTGTTTTGTCGTAGTAGTACTATGTAGTACTCATCATCGTCAGTGAAACGTGACGGATGAGTCAATGGGTCGTGCCGTTTACTTGTTCAAACAGTGGCAAGTTTGTTTTGGGTTTGAGGGAGGACGAACTAGCTTGTAGATATCATTCCATTGAGGTTGAAGTTTGAAGGCACATGATGAAACACCTGAAACCACTTGCAGAACAGTAGTGCAAAAGAATCCCTGAAGCTGCTCAGGCTTTTTGTTTGGGCGCCATTCGATGCGCGTGTGCACATCAGGCTAGGGCAGAGGTTCCCATGAAACACGGTAGAGTTTGGGTCTTGTATGGTCTTGTTGGCTTGTCCCATGTCTTTCCTGGCCACTCCGCACTTGGCCAATGAGAGAAACATTCTCAAGACGTACCGAGGGGAGCACGGACGTACCGGGACGTACCGTCGTACCGCTGGTATGTTTCGCTCGGCGAGGAGTACAACAATGGAGAGCTTGATTTGGACCAAGTGACCACGAGACTTGGAAGATGGCTCTTTTAGGCTTCTCCTTTTGGGCTTCTGTTGTTTTCCGATGTTTTTGGCTCCACCGGATGATTTTGCTCGGTTGAAACGTGATGGTCCGCTTGGATTTGTATTGGGTACGTGTGAACACGTGGGTCTTGCATGGACATTTGCTGATGCAACAGCGCACGCTTAAGGCATCGGCAATCGCCCTCCATCGAAGGGACCCGAACCCATGCCAAATGCCACTGCCATGTTTGTTTGGAGCCGGGGACATAATGCCAATGCTAACCAAGACTTGCTGGCACCTATATATAGAGACTTCCATGCCAGATAAGAGTGCGACCGCGAAGACAGAGAGAGAGAGAGAGAGAGAGCCAAGCAGCCGACCTTGTCGTCCCGTTGGCTTGGAACCCTGCCTCCACCCGGTCAGGATGTGCTTCAAATTCTCGGACGGGTCCATCCGCGATGACACAGGCGGGGCAGCGTGGACCTTTCCGGGGCAGCGATGGCCCATGCGAGAATCGTGGTGTGGAGACATGTGGTTGGCTCAACAATTTGGAAGAGATAGAATCAACTTAACTAAGAGTACTCGTGGAAGCTCCCAAAGTCTAAAGTTGGTTGGTGCTTGGGCGAGATGTCTTGTCGGATGACCGAAGAATGTAATGTAAGGCTTTGTTCGCTTGGTTGGGCATAGCTTTGATTTTTTTCTGACTGGCTTGTTGGTTGGGCTGGGTTTGTTGGCTGGTGGCCAGGCTTGTTGGTCAGTTGATGGGTCAATCTGTTGGTTGTGCTGACCCCGCGGAGATATCCCAAAGATGATGTCCATCCGACGTGTGTGACAGGTGTTTTCACGCTTCCTCCTCGAGAGTGCATGCAGAAGGTGGCAGCCCTGTACTCCCTTGCCATGCAGGTGAGGATGCCTCGGTGACATAGTGTGAGAACTACCCGCGAGAGCGAGAGAGAGAGGCACGGTAGTAGTGTAGAGGAGGCCCATTGCAGCAGCTGATCATTGAGGCGGAAGTTCTATGGCTCACTGCCCCACAGGTCGCCATTCCTTGTTCCCAGAGTGATTTGACCCAAGCTCCAGTTGCCCTTGAAATAAGTCGTTGTAGAACTTGACACATTTTACCTTGTTCGGCGTTTGCTTCCTCTCGTCCGCATATGTCCATAGCACAGAGATGCCGTGGCACACCGGCATGATAGAATATTATAGATTTCCAACTGGTTTGGAGAGTAGGCTTGATCAGGTAACTCAAAATTGTATTAGCACCCCACGAGGTCGAGTGCTCGCATATAAAGCTGTGTCCACCAAGCTAAGCAGTTGGCTGGAACTACAAACATCTACAAATCTGGTATGCTACCTGGGGCAGCGATCGCCTCTTAGCCAGGCTGGCATTCGTTGGACGGGCGACAACCCACAGCAGGTCTCAGCCCTGCCCGTTGGACATGAGCCTGGGAACGGTGACGGGTGACCGGTCTAGCTTGATTCTTCATTGAGGTATTTTATTACTATACACATATATATATATATTTACTATGTATATTGTTTGTTTATTGAGGGATGCAAACATGACCCTCCATATCGACCTTTTGTTTTTGGCTGATCTACCGAAAGTAGATGGCACAGCTGCCAGTTGACCAGTGTGGTTGTTCAGTAGGAGGGGGATAGCCAGGATTCGGATCGCAGCCCAGTCGCGAGTGGTTGCACCATTGACATCCATTGAGCCCATATTTTGAGATACTAATATACCGTATACCCATGAGGTTAAACATGATAATAGGACATATTAGGATGGATTAGGACGTAGGTCGAGTCGACATAGAGATATAAAGGGCTGTGGGTCGTGGCCAACGAAGTCATTGGGCGATTCCCGGCGTGACCCGGAGGTCACCGAGAGTCCGAGTCCCGTCGGACCCGACTCGTCGGACCCCGAAACGGAGAAAACCCGGAAGTGGCACTGAGCCAGGTGGCTGGGGCCAGGGGATACATGGCGATACATCTCCCGAAAATGAACGTACGACCCTGAAAATGGGACCCGGTCTAAGACGGTTTTCCTCTAGCTGCACCAGTGGTGTTCAAGGTTCATGTTAGTTTTCCACCGCTTAGGTCCTAGGTCCCTGGAAGACCTTCTTTCCTCTACAAGCAGGTGGTGGTTTTCCACTCGCTTCCATGATTGGAGTGGAGGACGTTCCACTATGGTTGCAAAATGGCATCAGCTCGGCCTGAGGAGCCGTCAAAGGCCCTTGACATTGAGAACTGCGCAGGGGCCACTCGCCCTCACATCAAGCCGAAGTGGAAGATGAAGTGTATGGGTGTGCTTTTTATTATAGGGAGGCTGCCAACCTAATTATGGGTTTGCTATGTTTGGGTTTATTTTGCTTCCTCCATGGTGTCGAACTCGGAGTTCTCCCCGTCCTTAATGTGCACACCAACGTCTTTTTCAATGACGGGACTTGAGGAAGCACGTGAGCTAGACATAGCGATATTCCCCCTTAAATTTGAACAAGCAGGCGTAGCAATTACCTGAGGGCCTGAGGGCGACTGGTAGTAGTTGTTTTTTCCTGAGATCAGAAAGGGGTATCCGCATGCTTTAGATGCACCTGCTTTTGGTAGACCCTACCCAATCCACCCGACCCAACTTGACCATTTTTGTGGAGGTGGTTGGCAGTTTTAAGCATCGGCCAGGCCTTTGACCACACTTGAATATTTAGCAGTTGCTTGAGACTGTCGGACCGATGCGGATCGACACATACCTACGTCGACCTACCTGCCCACACGCAGTAGATCTTGAAATCATCTTCAGGCTAACCCCGCAAGGCGCCGTCATTTTGACAATGGTCGACCCATGAGATCCACATATGGACTCAGAACGATCGATTGAGATCCCCTGCAGTTGCCTTTTGTTTTAGGACTTTGCCTTTGAGCGCCGTTGAAGAGCTGGGGGGTCCTTCATGAGTCCGACGGAGGTTTTGATGAAGGGTCAGCTCCTAGTCGTCTCAAAACCACTGCACCAAGAAACGCACAGACACCAGTTAAAGTTAAATCACGATTTTTCTATACAAATCTACTTTTGCATGCTCAGTTCTTTTCCTCCACCTCCAAAGTTGCGGGTTCATTCTGGGAACCGTCGCTCGTTGCGGTAAACCGGACGTTCAGACTCGGTCCGGATGGTTCAGACTCGGGCGATCAAGGACTGGGAATTGGAATGCCCCTTGCTTTGGGAGAATTTGACGCCCACCGATCAGCCCAACCGACGGTTCTGCAAGACCTGTTGCATGGCTGCATGAATTCAATGAATGGGCTGGATGAATGAAATGGATGGACGGATGGATGAGAGGGTGAACGGGGCACACCAATTATAAATAGATTTTCTCAGACTTCCACAGTTATTTTCCGTGGAACCTCAGATATTGAGCACCCTTCGTGATACCTATAGAGGCTGTATCGAGAAGAGGGAGTGGTCTATTCAGGGCATGCCACTGATGGAATCTGCCTATTGGCATGTTGGTCACTGCCTTCTTTCTCCTTGGGGCGAGAAGCACACGTGCGGAAGGTCCATTTGACGACTCCCAACATCGGAGCCTCCAGCACGTCCTCTCCCAACATCGGAGCAAGGGGCTGGTTTGGATCCCCCCCTAACACCCGTTTTCTTTTTATGTGATTCAAGATGATTCAAGATGAGTACACAGGCATTCCGCCGCCATGATTTTTTATATATTTGTTCCCATCTGTTTTTACATGGAACGGCTGAAACCGGACGCGCCGCACGTCGCACAGGTGGTGAGAATGTCTACTTCTGTGACACCATCGAGGAGGTCAACGCACATGCCATGGAACGACGATGTGTGGCCTTTGAAGTGCGTGAGGCCGTTGCCACGGAGGCAAGGGTGCCAGAGACGGACGGCTCCTCGGAGTGCCAGACCGGAGCGTTCAGAAGGGGGGTCGAGGAAGCTGGCAAGAGGCGGAACGGCTGGCAAGAGGCGGAACGATTTCCACCATCCTATATATGATTTTTCCCAGAAATCCTATACAAGTTGTCCAACAAAAATGCAGCTGTCCGGCTTTTTCATGATTCAAGCTTGGACCAACTGCCATCCCCATGTTGGTTTTCGCCCATGTTGGCTTCATCACAAGCGATGTTCCCTTTCCTAGACCGTATAGGTGACAAAACAAGACCACTTACTCACCTATGTGCTTTACACCGCTCAGAGCCCTTGGCTCTCTAGTCTCCCTGGTGGGCGGCTGTGTTGAGTGAAAGCCATGTACCACTTGGGTTTCCGCCAGGTCATCTAGACTCGAGCCATGAAGGTAGAACCAAACCATACCAAACCTCTTCATCCAGGTTCTTCAAAGTGACCTCTTTGGAGCTCCTAAGTGACCTTTTACAGACCCAAGTGACCCCAAACCGGGATATCAAAAGGTCACTTTGAAGAACCAGGATACGGGGGTTATATATTAATCAAGAGTCTATAGATTAGCTTCGTTTTTTGCCTCCAGCATGGTTCTTTCGTTTTTTGACGCTCGCCCAGATGTAGTGAAGCTTCACGTGGCCTTACTGTCGGGAGACGAGCTGCCAGAATTGACGGTGCCCAAAGTGGCCACTGTCAACGATGTGAAAGAGGCGCGTGAATTGGATTCCTGGATGGACGAATGGGAACGGGGCCATGCAGCCGAGTTTCCTCAGGTGATGTCACGCACTGTGAGTTAAGGTCTCATCGTGGGGTTCCCTATTTTGGAGTCCTGTTGCAATATTGATGGGGTGTTTTGCATAATAATGTAGACTTTTGACGAATAACACCTCTCATTTGGATTGTAAAACCCCTCCACAGGGGGGTGTTTGTCATCAAGAGTCTAGAGTCTACATGAGCTTTCTACTTGGGGTGCCCCAAGAGCCGCGAGAGGGGGAGACGGCAACCGTCAGGGCTGCTCTATTGGACCTTATGTAGTGTCTTGACCGACCTAGAGTATCGCTGTTTTGGTCGCGTTTCTTAGTGCAGGACTCGCCAATGTGTATTCTATTGCTTTTCTCATCGCGGGCAGTCCTACCATTCCAACCGTTCCAGAACCATCAACCCAACCCACCATTTAACCCTCACAACTTGCAGGTTCGAATGCACAACCGTCATGACTTCAGCGCCATCGGATTTTCCATCACTATGGTGGTGCGCAGTTGAACTGCTCCGCAGGAGATTGCCAACCTCTCGGGAATTCCTTCTGGGGAGCAGCGGCCACTCGCCTCAAGCCACCTCAAAAAATGGACCGATTCTGTCGAGCCAAAAACATCGATTCTCCCCCTTCTCTCCCCGTCCTTTTTGGACCGGTCGTCCACCAGTCGTCCGTGAGGCAGGGTGGAAAGAACCCGGTCGAGTCAGTCGAAAGGTCAAGAATTAAGCTGCCATGGGCCTGCCATGAGCCATATAAACGAAAGACAGAGCAGCCTTGAATACATAGCCTGTTGGGCCCTATGCTCTATGACTATGACAATATTTGATACAGTGTAGGACCTATACTATATGCTGACACGTTCTGTTCGTTTTCAATGCAGTCTGTTTTGTGTGCATCCCAGGCTGCTTCTAGAAGGACGAGAGCTCGAAAACACCGAACGAGCGGGTGCTTTCTGTGAGACCTCCGGAACACCTGATAAGGCTGGAGCTGATGTAGCTGATGTAGTACTGATGGAGCTGGTAGAAAACCCGACAAGCTTTTCCACTCCGATCGGACACGGAACAAATACACCACCCGGACCGCCCTGGAGGAATACACCCTATCTTCCGAAGTGCGGAAACCAGATTGTGCAACAGCAAAGTGAGCAAGATACTGGATTTGTTGCCACTGTCGGAAGAATCTGGTAATCCTGAGGGATGACTTCGGGATGACCCATGATTTGCTCGGCGACTATGCCCACCTAGCCCGGCCCTATACGGATGGAACACCATGCAAAAACAAAGAAGAAACAACATAATATCTACGAATACATACGAATACCCACAGTCCCCTGAAGAAGATCTTCAACGATCCTCATCCCAAACATGTTGATTATCCTGAGCTCATGCATTTTTTGACCTGTCCATTGACATTCTAGCATTAAGTGTCAGAAAGGAGCGCTCTCAGCGGCGCGTTGTTGAATATGTTTCAATCAGCAACTTTTTGCCACTGTCCCCTCTCTAAAGTGTATTACCCGTTGCTTTAGCTCCAAATATCTAAATGTCCAAATCCGGTGGCGCCCGGCGGGGTGGCTAAGCCGCGTCCAGGCCTTTCTCCAGCTGCTGCGGGTCTTGAAGCCAGTGCGTGAGCCCACCCGCGAGCCAGGCAGGTTCGGTTGGACAAATGAAAGGCCACGTGGGTGACAGGAGCGAAGTTTCCTATACACGGAGCTCCGGACATGTTGTTCGGTCGATTCTTGGAGCGAGGTTGATTCATAGTCCTTCTGACAGTTCGGCATTGAATAAGGGGCCCAATGGGTGCCCTAGTGGGCACTCCAAAAGAGGATGTTTGACTCCGGATCCATATTCCCTGGTTGTCACGGAGCCGCTTTTCAGGTAAAGTCAAGATGGGAAAGCGCCGCCCACCACGCAGATGGGGGCCTTTTTGATGCAACAGTTGGCCTATGTTGGGCTGCTTGCCAAGGTGCCTAGTTGTCAGCTAGTGCAACTTTGCAAGAAAATGTGGAGACACAAACAAGGCGACCCTTGAACAATGATGCGGACATCAGAAACTGCCTCAAAGTAGTTCGCTATAGGGGATTGCGAGTGGATGATTGACATCAACTCCGGCGACCATTCCCAAAGTGGAAAGAGAGAGATCCGCCTCGCAACCTGCCGGTATAAATGATTAGAAGTCAAAGCCGCGTCAGTTGAACCGCGGCATTTGTCCGAACCCCTGGCAGCCCTGGCATGGCTGATACACTTGGTCGGGATATTTTTTGGGGTTTAAAGAGGCTTCAGGCTTCAGGTCTTCAAGTTGACATGAATCATGTTCAATGGCCTCGTGCGCCCTTGGCAGGCAAAGTGAAGATGGGAAAGCGCCGAAAGCCGGGCCGAGAATATTGAAGTTCTGAAGAGGAACTTGTTGAGTTGGAAGTGGCTCAACATGTTTGATGGTGTTGTGTTCATGTGTTGTTGTTGTTGTTGTCGTCGTCGTCGTCATCGTGGTCGTCAAGCAGTAGTATTAATTTGATTTGTTTGCCCTATGGTGTGTGTGGGCTAACTTCCCTTGCATGATGGTGTTTTAAAAGCCACAGCTGTGTAGAACCGCATTCCTCGCGCTCAGCTTGCTTGGCGAAACGCCCGCGTTCAATTTGGCAAAAAGTGGGCGAAGACCTTCTGTATGTTTCAGAAAAGGCTGCACTGCTTGTGCCGGCCTTTTGGTTTTTGCACTAATTAGTCACTAGGCAATGGAGAGACTTCCATACAAGGTGCCTCTTTTGCTTCCAGTATCTTCCAGTCATGTGCATACATTGGCCAGTGATTCATAGGCTGAAGACCTTAACGCTGCCCGCGTTTGAACATTACTCTTCGTGATTGTTTTCACCGACGGCGTAGCCGGACTCGCTGGCCACTTCTTTAAGTTGAGTCCGTTTTTGTGGCCAGAACTGCCTTAGACGGCATGCCATAGCATCTAGTTCACCGATGGATGCTGTAATGTTCAAGAACTGTGGAGACCGGCCCCGGGATGCTGAAGTGAAGCCTGGGTTGTTTGGGGTGCATGTTGAATCTTCAAAAGCAGCGCCCAATCACCCAAGGGTGAATTAACCATAGTGTACCATATTTCCCTGGCGATGCAAATTCACCGCCCTCCATTGGAAAGTCCAGATTTTTTCCCAATAAATTTGCTAGCACGGGGTTTCGCGGGCAGCTATGGAGCAGCCGCTTGACAAACTCTTGAAGCAAATTAGGTCTCTGAGTGATGAGGAGCTTGATGCAGTCATTGCTATTGGTCAACAAGAGAAGGCCCTGCGACTTCTACCACCGGTGCATGTGACCTTCCAAAGCATGGCTGAAAAGCTCCTGGAGTGTATGTGCGAGCCAGCACAGTCCACCCAGGATTTGAAGAGGTTGCTGTCAAGCGTGTGTGGTGAACCTGATGGTTTCGACCTGGTTTGCCAGAGCTACGTCATGCAGCCATCGGACAGATTGGCGTCCCTCGGGGAAGGTCCCAAGGACATCCAAGTGGTGAGATGTCATCCGCAAATCGACCTCGGAAAGGAATTGAATTGGCCCAACGTTCATCATGCCCTTCATATCGCCTCGGGTGAATGGGTCTATGTGGTGAAATCATCGGGTTCTTTTCTTGATGGGGAGACACTGTATCGGACCCTGTCGCCTGAAAGTCTTTGGCGAGAGATCCGCCCAAGCACGTCTACCGTGGCTGCGATTTCTGCGATTAGCGCTTTTTCAATGGCGGTATCACCCACGAAGGAATCAAGGATAGCGGTGGTGGACGCCTCTGAATTTGATGTATCTTTCCTTGCAGATGTTGTGGAGACGGGCAAGGTCTTCTTCTCCTTGAAAGGTGGACATGATGGAAATCCTGGACATCGCCATGTGCTAGCAGCATGGCCCAATGCTTTTCCCCTCGAAGCAGCGGAGGCCCAAACGGTTGACATCTTGGTTTCAAAGGTGGTGGCCACTGGACAGATCCAACCCTTGTTGGAACAATGCAGATCTTTGCTTCACAGTGACTCTCGCGTTCTTTTGGTGGCCGCCCAGGAGACAGTTGAAGCTGCACCTGTCGCTTCTGAAATATTTTGTTCCCTTTGTGTTCAGGAGATTCGCAAAGCGGGTCTCCGCCCCCTCGAACTTTTGACCTTGCAGCCCTTCAGTGATAGTGCGGTGATTGCCGCCACCACCAAGAAAAGGGCTGACAGAGGATAGCTGGGATCTTCGAGTCCAATAGCGGCATGGATTGCAATCAATAGCGACCATGAACGGCCGTGGGTTGAGGGCGAGTGACGGGAGGAATGATTCACAATGCCCAAATGAACGTTCTTTCCTGCAAATTGTACGAGAGAGGGAGAGAGAATGAGAGAGGGAGTGATGGACAGCGGTTTAGTGGAAGTGCTGACTCGTTCCAACCAATGCTGTGGTACGCCGATCCAGCAGAATCAGATTCTTCCAGCAGTCACAAAGGGGTGGTGTTTAGTCCCTAAGTCAGTGGATAATGGGCACCCCTAACCTCCATTAAGCACCCCTTTGTGACTGCTGGTTGACGATTCTTGTCACAAGAAAAGACGCCAATCAATTCAGCAAACAGTTGGACTCACGGAGTGCCTCGTCGATGACCCGGCTCGGCTCTGAGTGGGTGGAAAACCACCAGATTCCCATCCTCACCAAGGGCACATCCAGTTACACTATGTTACACGCGTTTTCTTTTCAAAAAGCCCAGAATCCCCGCACCACGGGACTCCAAATGTATGGATTTCGAGGTTGAGCATTGTGGGCCAGGGAATTTTGGGTTCCCTGCGCACTGGGGCGAGCGTGATCACTCCCCCTATACTGACGGACGTGGTGACGATTGCGCTGGCCGCGAAATGGCGAGATGTTGCAGTCTGCCAGGGCCGCAGGGGCAGGGCGGGCAAGAGTGCTCATTTGATTTGTTTTGTTTTCCGGATCGAAGGCCGAAGAAGATTTCAAGAAAGATCATACAAACACTTATGCCCTGTTATGTCGTTGACAGACCTTTGATCCACGGACCCTCTACTATGGAATTCTCACCGTAGAAATAAACACCATATTATATGTTTGAATATTTGTGTAGACGTTGTCAAGGCCGAAACCTTTGCACACTTGTAGAATTCCCGAGCCAAACTGAGTACTTGGGAGAACAAAACTGTTTGCTCTTTTGGTGTGTGGACCTGGTCGGAAAACTCTGAGAGACCAAACATCATTTGGAGGAACAAAGAAAACATGGAGAACAAATTCAAAAAACTACTTGGATAAAAAACACTAAACAATGTAATAGCCAATTTGAGCAATACACATAATTTGTTGTTCTTATCATTTGGAAAATTGCCAACAAATAAACACTTATATATTTAAATTCAAAGCCAACATATATATATATATATTTATCAAACATTTATAATATATTATTTGTTTAACCGTGAGATTCAATCAATAGTTAATAAAAAGACATTAGATTTACAAATATAGTAATAATATGTTAACATGTTGTGTGGGTTTATTTATTGGATCAACACAGCCATTCATTGTTTAAATCATTGATATGGATCAATGAATGGCTTTTGTTGATTCACAAAAATAGTAAATAATGAATATATATATAATATATTCTTATAGTCTTTAGTGTATACATGTAGTAGTGATGTTCTTTAATTATTGTGTTGATGGTTCAAGATAAAGCAAACATAATAATTGTATATGTTTGTTTAAGTAATATGTGGTTCTTTTAGATATCTTGTGAATTTTCAGCATACCACTATATACTCACAAAAACACACATAGAACTTGCTTTCAGTGTTTCTTATATTATACAGGGCCGTATAGTTCCAACAATATGTGTTTTTAATGTTATTTTTTTGGCCACCGCCAACGCCTGGTGGCCAGCCAGGTCAGGTGAAAGCAGTGTCACCTTGCCTGTCCCCACTTATGTGCTACACTGCTACACCCCGAGCAGTTCTTGGAGCATTTTGTTTGGTTTAATGAAAGAGGGCTGCTTCAGGCAGCTCTTATGCCACGCATCTATGACTGTGGCTTTGTTTTTTTGGTCAGCAGTGAGTCAGCACTGGCCAGCGGGGTTGTTTCAGATCATGGGCTTCAGCAGGCCCCAAAAGGTGTTGTTTCTTGGTCTCCAGCACTTAGGAATAATGTAATCTATATAGACTTTATTCCTAGCATGATACACCCTAAGTCACGAAATTTGGCACCCTCTACCAGCTACCAAGCTGGCATCCAAACCGGTCTTAGCGCCGGTTCACCTCGGAGCATCCAGTTCGATCTTCGGCACCGGGGCACCGAGCAACATCTTCGCACCCAGGCCCTGGAGCAACTGCTCCTGCGCTTCTTGGCGCCCTATGTCGCAACTCGGCACCGGCACGTGCGGCGTGCGGAAGGGGCTGTGACCGAGCGGAAACGACGGGGCTTGGTGACCCCTGCTTCACCTCCCTATCGGGACATGGTGGGATGCTGGACACACTGGACTCATTCACAACCGGTCTCCACACGTGCCGACATCCCTTTGTAACATGATTCTTCCGGCTTCTTCCAGTCTCTTTGACCTGTTCACGTCTTGTCTCTTTGACCTGTTCTTGCCTCTCCCATGTGCTCCCTCATCTCACCACTATCGCACAGATGGCTTGACCTCTCCCTTGGCCTCACCCTACATTGAACATTCTATGGATCCCGGTCTAGGCACAGATCCAGGACTAAGTCACAAGCAGAGCACCTGAAAAACTCATTGCCTGATTGCAATGCCCAAGATCACCACAGGACCAGGGTGGTCATTCAGAAGAGTTCATGGTTACTTTCAGTATCTTTCAAACACCCAGAGCTCATCTTTTTGGGCACCTGATATGGCAATTGTTTTGCGCCAAACTCCCACAGGCAGCTTGGCTTGAATGCCTGTGGAAGACAATGGCGAGCCAACAGACCACCTAGCCCCTCAACCTGTGGCAGCCGACCCGGCAAAGACAATATAGACATGATTCTAATTCTATGATTCATTGTGTTCTTCAAACATTGATTAAGATGCTTCCCCCGGCTACAGAGGGTCAAACTAATTCATCAACAGTCCTCATTTGTTCGTCCTTTTTGCTTTGCAGATTTTGCTCTGACTCAGAACCGAGGATGGCATCTCTGCCGACAAGCTCCGCCTGGGGGTGCCTCTTTGGGTGGGTTTGGTGGCCGATACGTCACCAGGTTTGGTGCCTCCCGCCACGACTGGGTAAGACCTTGGAACACCCACTATAAGCCACCAATGAAAGACTAGGAGGTTTTTTAGGTCAGGTGGCGCAGGATTACTTATGTGCAGGGATGCGTGATGTCAAGACTTTTTTTCAGAATATCAATGCCAGTGCCGTTTTCTTTGCTTCCAACCAGGCCCGAATTTGAGTGTTTCGCCACCGCCGAGCGCCAGGTGCTGCGGGGCTCCTTGGAATTGGATTCTTTGACCGTCAAGGCCGAGGCTCCCTCCTTGCCG